AACAGATGACAAAGAACAAAAAACCATGGAAATTCAAACAGAAACTCTGCTCTATTTTGCCTGCAATAGATATCCCATTGTGCTGCAATGTGATGTGTTTTACCAAACACATCTGGAATATGGAAGCACAGTATGAGAACTCATGAAAAAACTTTTAAAATTAAAAAAAAATACATTTAAAGGAAATAAATCTCAGGGAAGCATGCAGATGCTGACAATATATATTTACATTTCTCTAGGAAACCTGTCATCTCATTCTAGTACCTATAAAATACGCATTTTCAAAATAATTTATACTTACATAGACTAAAACATCTCTTTCGGAGCTAAAGGTCATTATTCTTTGTGAGGATAAACCACCAGCATTAGCTTCTTTTCAAGAAACAAATACTCTGTATTGTACATGTATGGGAAAAACTTGAGGTAAAATCTCATGTATTCTGTATTCTCAAACCTGAAATACTGCTGGATCAATTTTGAAAGCTTCTTAATGGAAATCAAAGTATGTCTAATCCTACAAACATATATAATTGTTATACAGTTTGGGAAGCCGTATCTTAATTTTTGTACTTTTCCTTCATCATAAGGGCTTATTTCCTTAACCACATTTTGGAGGCTTCATTAGGACATTTCCACTTTTTGAGTAATGGGCAGTTCCTGGAAACTTATGAAAAATGGATGAAGACTGGGATCCTCTAAGCAAAATGCCCTCTCACTTAACAGGACAACAGAAATTTGTAGGGCTACCATACATAACCCTTGGGCTCAGCTGATGCTCCATGGTGCCAATTAGAAACAAATTTTCTTTAGAAAACAGCAATTTGTCAAAATTGAAGTGAATTTTTTTCCTGCAAATATTTTTTGGCATCAGGAGAGAGGTAGAAGGTGAAGAAAAATCAGAAAGGTTTTACAGTGTTCAATAGTCAGAGGGTAATCCAGGAGACCCAGCCGGGACCTGGGCTCACACCTGGGATTTAAACCTGGCTCTCCCAAGTCAGGCTTGTGTGCAGGTCAGCAGGCTGTGCTAGTATGAGTGTGCATCCTGAGAGAGCTGTTTCAGGTTGTATTAATAATTCAATATTTGCAGGGAAGTGGCAGAGGGAGAGAGACTAATCCTACAGTCTAGTGGTCAAACATCCACCTGGGATACTGGGATCTTTCCCTGTCAAAACCACCCAACAAACAGGAGTAGGAAGGAGGAAACAGCAATGCCTCTTACAGCTTAGCAATTTTAAACTGATCAAATTAGATCAAAACAGGAAGGTCACTGCCCAAGCACTGTCTGGGAAGAAAACACTGACAACTTGAAGCTAAATGGGGGTTTTAAAGTAATCTCATTAAGACTCTCCTTCTTTGAAAGATTCTTCTTTTTTAAATGTTGTTTTTTTTTTTTAAAAAAAAAAAACAAACCCAGAGACATAAGTCTGTTCTTAAAATATCTTCAGGATCTGGCAATTATGTTAATAAACTTTTTCTATGATTATTATTGTTTTTATATATTTTGGAGAAACCATAGGAAACTACCTGTCATTTCATAACTTAAAGGAATTAAAAATAAATTCCCTTTTCAATGTCTCCCTTTTCTGGAAAAACGAATGACAATCCTCCTGCCTGTAGTTGCTCCCACACAAGGCAGAGAAGAAGAGGAGGACAGAGGAGGCCAAGGGGAAGTCGCGTATGGTAAACCTTTCTGCAGTACACGGCCATGTAGGAGAACATTTTCTAACAGTGGAGGACAGGGAAGACTGTAAGTCAAAATGTCAGGCTGCTGCTAGGCCAGGGCACTAACATACTTTCATTATTTGCTCTTTGTCAGCAACCTTCATCAAACTCAATGGGGTGAGTTTGCACTCACCTGGACAAGGCAACCCGCACTGGATTAAGAAACGTGTGGACATAGTGAATTTATAAAACACTGAAGAACAGTTGTCCTTTAAGAGAACAACGTGATCCAGTCCCTGTCACCGGGCTGCAGAGCTTCCCCTCAGCACGCTGTCAGCCCGCAGGCCCCCTCCAGCTGCCACGGGTGCCATGAAGTGTGCTGGTGTTCGGGAGCGTGTCCCTGGGAGGAGGAATGTGTCCCTGCTGCTGGTGGTGGGCCCTAAGCACAGCAGCTTCTGCTTTTCACCCTCTGAAGCAAAAATACCCTTTCAGACAGAGCAACCCCTATAGTAGCATGCAATGCTACTGGAGGTATGGAGAGTTACCAATGATTTATGTGTAGAGAGAAGGGGGAAAAAAGATAAGCAAGTTTAATCCAGCACTCAAGAAATACTCTATTGTGAACAATTCCTCACCAACAGGGTGATGCTGAGGGTCACCAGCTGTGAACTGAGGTATGTTTCAGACTTCACCAGCAGACCTGCCTGAGGGGGCCCTGTGCTGAGACCTCCGCAGGGCTGGGGGCCAGCTCCCACCGCACCCACGTCACCCACGAGGCAGAGCCTCCTGTCACATGGACTGTACCTCTGCGCCAAGCCAGCATCATTTCTAGTCCAGAAAAGAATTAAAATCTGTGCAACTGGAAAAAGTCCAGAAAGCAAGATAACAGCTTCGCTACGCCCTGTATCTGCTCTAGTTTTGTGCACTAGAGAACATGATAAACCAGCTGTGCTTCAGTAAAACACACAGAAAATGAACCAGACTTACTGCTTCTATAATAGTGCTGACTTTCACTTAAAAAGTAATTCTCTCTTGAGAGGAATTGTTTGAAAAAAAACCAACAAAAACTTATTGACTCTATCAGATAATAAAACAGAACAAGAAGTTCAAGCAAATCAAAATACAAACCCAGTACTTTACACTACGAAGCGACTTCCATGCCAGGACCACAGAGCATTTCGCAACAAGCCTGTAGGCATGTAGGTGGTGTTACTGCCATTTCACAGACAGGAGAAACAAAGCACAGAAAGGTCAAGTGTCTGGCTGCAGGCCACACGGCTGAGCCCTGGCACGGCTGGGAACAGACCTCAGAAGTATGGCCACCCTGCCCCTTGGTCTGACAAGACAACATGCTCTCCCATTTTTATCTCCTTATAAGCATGCTAGCTCTCTTGATTTAAAATTGCTTTCCTACCTTCGTAAATTTGTATACTGTTATACCCTGATCACTGAGCAGAAAGCATTGCAGAGCCTATTGACTTTATTGGCTCTGTGGCTTTCTTTTGCACAATGAGTTGTGGGATTGGGACCTAGTGATGTCAATTATCAGCAAGAAACCTTTATATATTTGTCTGCAACAATATGCTCTTTCCAAACATAATGAATTGACAGCACTTCCAGTGGTTTTCATATTGTCTAAATAACCAGATTTGCATCATAGGTAATGGTGCATCCTAAAATGACATTTTCTATCTCCTCTGATACATGTAAAACTTCAGGAAAAAAAAATACATTTTTTACTTACACATACACACACACACATATATATATATATAAATAAAACAAAGAACTTTCCCTCAGTTCCCATTCAGAACTTTTCCTCAGTTCCCATTTAGAATTACAAACCACAGAAATGCTCCTCCCTTATAGCTGAGCATCCAGGTGCTACTGTAATTTACTCTATATACATGTTTTAAATTTGTGACATAAGAGACATACTTTTCATAATGTAGTCATTTTATAGATTTTATTAGACAGACTTATGGTAGGAAGGAATATTCAGAAATTGCAACTTAAATGAGAAAATGTGAATGGTGTTATTTATATAAAATACTACTGCAATATTTCTTTTATTAATTTTTAATGCACGGCACCCACTGTGACCTCCTTTATTCTTTTCCTGTCAACATGGCAGGCTAGAGAAATTGAAATGGGCTGTAGCTGTTCTCTTCTTGTTACCCTCTTTCTCCCATTTTGCATAACATTAAAACTATAACATCTTATTGGACTGTCACTGTGAAATAATCATTATGCAATAGGCATAACGATTTTTTCTGATTGTTATCTCTTCCTTGCTTTTCAGCATCTCTAAAAAATTCCAAGTTCTGTGTAGTCATCTAAGGCAATAAGGCAATTTTCCACTGAATATACTCATCTGAATTAAAGTTTGTTTAAAAGGTATCTTTTGCTACATTTCTTATGGTTCTCCTAGGATAACACCAGTCACATAAAATAAAGCCTTTTTGCCTGTCTGGTCTCCTTTGATTACGTTTTTGGGGTGAGGTAGGAGGCGGGTTCGATTAAATACTGTTTGACTGAATCAGGAGGATGCCATTACTTCTGTTATGTATATTTACTGCTACCTCTATCACCAAGGAGACTAATCTCCATACCAGTAAAGTCAAGAAGCTCACAGTATTGTCTTTGCAGGGCCAAGTTCATGTTGTCACAGCAACAGAGTGCACAGGGTCAATAGATTAATACATTAGTGTGCACAGGCACTGAACTGGAGTGTAAAAGTTTTTCTGCTGGTTTTAAAATTAAACTGCTAAACAAGACTTGGAAATAAGGCCTACACGGATATTCTTGTATAACTCAAGGAACAGGCTATAAAAATACGCATATATTTGACTAATACAGTCTATCATGCTTAGCACAGTGGAGGGAGGAGGAAATAACCTCCTTGGAAAAGGTGCACTCGGTGGGAAGGAGGGAGGAAGGCTGGAGTTCAGGCTATGAAACATACACTGCATTTGGACTGTTGATATTTCCCCTTGCGATGCCCTTTCATTAGCCTCTGTCTAACATGTGGCCTGACAATTGTGACAGAATGAAAAATCTGAGGAAAAGCCAGGGTCACGAGAGAAGAGATTTCCTTCCCTCTCCGGTGACCCTATCACAGTATTCTGATGCAGTGCTTCACCATTAAGGAAAGGGCAACCCAAGAGCCTTCACACTTAATCTGTTCCATCTGTCATGACTATTAGAAACATTGACCAGCAGTGAGCTTTAAGGACTTGGCATGACTGCAGACATGATATTCTAGCCCACTACAAGGACCTCCTGATGTTTTGAAAGCCTCCAAGGAAGTACTATGCATCAAAAAGGGCAACACCTACCTGACACACCACCATATGTGGTCTTCAGTCCTCCACCAACTGCTGGCCAAGGTGTGCTGTCTGCTTTCAGTCCCATCAGCCCTGACACAGTGTTGGTGGCTGTAACACCATCTGCTCCACCTGTGAAAGAAAAGGTCAGTCACTTTTTTGTTAAATCGTGTATAAGAACAAGACAGGAAAAAATACAACAGAAAAACTGTGAAACTGTGAAATAACTAGAAATTCAAATAAACAGCTGAAGACAGAAAGCAACAAACTGTAAGGGGATGGCACAGAAGGGTCCTTAAGATCAATCCTGGGCTGACAAATTTAACGCTAGCTTCAAGGCAGGCTGCATCAGTTGAAAGATCTGTAAGGGCTGTAAGACAGCACATGGGAAACACTGAGGCTGACAGGCAGATCTCTGCCCTTCAGCTGTGTGGGACAGAACCTGCTACAGTGTTTGTTCAACACCTGGAGTTGCCCCAGCACAGGGGTCACCTCCTCCAAGCTGATAACACCAAATCCGCATTGACGGAGCTAGCCCATATTCTTGTTTCTCATTGTGAAGAGCAAGACAAAAAGAACAATGCAACAGAGAAACAATGACCACAGTTCAAAGTGATGGATTAATACACCTACTTGCAAACTAATTTCCTGCCATGTTGTACTTTAAGCTCTGGAAAAAATACATATATACACCTTCAAATGCTATATTTCTGTTTTCTCAGGACACACACACCATTTTCACTACTAAATGTAGGAACAGAGGAATTTACAGTATGATAAACATAAAAATATGACAGAAACAGGAGTGTGCAGACAAACACACACAAACATATATGATTTATTGTTAATAGTCTAATGTAGTTTTCACATATTGATATATTCTAGAAGCATGGACAAAATTAAGAAGCCTTTGATCACTGTATTTATTCTAAACACATCAAATAAACAATTTCCATGTTAGCTTCTGTTATTTGTTATTATTCCAGCAACTCCGCTATCTTCTCCCATCCACCAAATTAGTAAATCTGCACAGCTTGTGCACTGGAGTTGGTTACCTTCCTGCGCAGCCATTGCAATATTCACAATATCAGTGACATTTGGGGTCAGCTTGGCAAAGAAAGGAATCTGAACAGCTTGTCTCACCCAGCGACAGATGTTCCGTACCAGTTCTGGATCCTGTTCAAATAGGTCAGATAAATATAGAACATAATTAAAAGTAATATGAACAAAAGATATATCAAGGAAATCGAAAACTTTGCTATAAGTGGCTAACCGTAATTTTGTGAAATTAAAAATCAGGACCGCACCTCATCTCATTAGTTAACTTATTCCAGAGACATCAAATAACTGCAAATTACAGAACAGTTAGTTCATGAAGAAGGAAAATTTGCCTTCCTCCCCCCCCAAAAAAAGACAAAGATATCACAAAATATTCCCTCTTCAGAGAGGGGAAAATATAATATTGGATGACAGATACTTTCTTTAGCCATTTATTTTAAAAAACAGTTTCAGTTTTAATAACTCTCTATGTATGGTACATTGAAAATAACCAGTAACCTATAAAATAATGCGAACTTGAAGCATTGGATCATTATGCCTTGATCAGAATAACAAGGATGAATCAAGGGTGCAGGGCTGCCAGAACACAATTCAGCATTTCTGAACTCTCCTCTGGCTTCAGAGAATAACTTGGGAAGGTTGCAGTGTAAATGAAAGATCAAAATCTTCTCTGTTAGAGCCAGAAATCAGAACCTTCAAGTGTTGGCTTTTCATGATTTCCAGGCGTTTACTTCCCTTATGGAATATGTCTCATGTAGACAGTAATCAGCTATCCTTTCCCTTGAAAACAGCTCAGGGGAACTAATACTCTGTGTCTGGCACGTATCATGGTTATTGTTCAATATAATGCTTAGGGTAAGGGTTGTTGGTTTTTTCGGTTGGTTATTTATAACGCTCTCCAGCAAACACCTTAAAATTTGCAATACTGATGCATGTAGAACATGGTGCGTGATCTGGTTAAAAACTGAATGGTGCTATTACAAGACTGAGTACAAGTGTAACCTGTGGGTAGGCTAATTGGTACCACAGCAATTATTTACATTTACTAAATCTTCATCACTCTCTCAGATAATTATGTCTGTCATATATGAAGAATTTTCTCCTATTCAGATATTGTAAAAACTCAGAAAGCTGCATTGCTATGTAATAACTGAAAATGTGATGAGCCTAAATATGAAGTTTAGTTTAAAACAATCCAGTGGACACCAACGTTGTCAGGCTGGTGAACACACAGGAAATATCCCCTTGTTTTTTTCTTTTTATACCAATGGTTAAATACAAACAAAAAAACCCCCACTGGCTGTGTTCCTAGAAAGTACACAGTGTGACATGAATAGTAAAACCCTGAGACTTAGCTGTGCCATTCCAATAAAAATGGTGATCTCCCCGCCCATGTAGCTTCCATGAAATATGTATGAATGCTGCACTGGCAGCATGAAAGTAGCTGCATCTTTGACTTTCATTTCTGTTTTGAATTTCCTTGAGGCCCAACACAGAAATGAGACACCCTCTAGAAGACATGAATTGTATATCCCTTATGTTAATTCTTCTCCTTAAAAATCATTGTAATAATGTTTAGGATCTGGGCACTACATAACTCATTATGCTGACTTCATTGTGCTTATAGTGCTGCCATAAAAATTCTTACTCCAACATACACTAACACTTTGAAAAAATACAGATATTTTATATCACATTTAATAACTCATTGGGAGATCTCTTTCATTCATATAAACCTGATTTCCATCTTGCCTAAGAAAATTCAACTAGTTTGTTTTTCTTAATAAATAATAATTTGACCCTTTTTTTTCCAAACGTGAGTAAAGACCTTCATTTTTCCATCAGTTCTGCTTCTCCCACACCAAGATTAATGCAAAGAATGCAATGGAAAGGCCTTCACTTTCTCAAGTAGTAAACATTTTGAATATCTGATTGTGCAACACGTGTTTAGACAAACCCTTTTGAAAGGCTCACTTATATCAGTCTTAGAAACATGCCAGTTTTGGTACCCATAAAACCACAGGTAATTTAATAGGAAAATCATTTGAAAACTCAGCTGAAGGAGTTTTCAAAAATCTTTGATTTTACTTTACTTAATATTCCGAGGAAAAAATAGGAATGTTTAGTGAGGAAACACAAGAAGAATGAAAAAAAGTTAACACCATGCTTTGCTGCATAGTGAGGCAGTCACTGATAGGAACTGGAAAGGTTTTGAATTTTATAAAAAAAAAAAAAAACAAAAATAAAACAGAATTTCCATTAAATTTGACACTTTTGGATTGAAACAATTACTTCTAAAGCTGATTTTTTTTCCCTGTAATCTTTTATCTAACTCTTTGGTCACTAAATAAATATCACACAAATACCGGATACCTTAAAAAAAAATTAGTTTATCTTTGTGCCACCACCAAAACACACACACACATGACACATCTCGCTGCTTCCCTTTTCAGTGTGAGTCCTACAGTGGAGCTGTACTGGAACATCCAGCTGCTCCTCCCTCCCACTCTCCTCCTCCACCTCCACTTCCTCCCTTTGTTCTGCCTCCAGGCCCCTCCTGCTCTGATTCCTCCTGGTGCAGAAGCCAACATCAGTGAACACCTGAGCTCAGCCTCGCTTCCCTTGCTGTAGTGACACTGCAAGTGTCCAGTGGCCAAAGCCACAACGTGCCTGAGCTTCCCTGCTGCCAGAGGGATTTCTATGCCATGAAGACACTGCATGAGAATACCAGAGCTTTTATGCTCTACAGACAACTAACATATTCTCAAAGAGGAATAATATCCCCACCTGATTTTATTTGTAACATCACATTTTCTTCTTTAGATCATCAAGAAAAAGTTACTAATTCATATATGAAGTTCGTAATTTCCTACTATATTTACACTGAGGATTTGGAAAAATGCATCATAAGTTATCAGGTGGTTGAAAACAGAAGATATTCATGTCACTGGACAGCTAACTTTCATATTAAATGAATGAACTACATTTATATAATCCAGGGGAAGTTCACTGGATTGTGTACAATCTCTCCGTAGAAGTTTTTCCTTTAGTCTGAGAACAATTTTCTGAGGTCACACAATTAGATAACTTTTGAGAAAGGTTTAAGTGATTAGAAATAGAGAATTCACTTCTAAGTTCAATCACTGACTAAATAAATTATCCCAATTTGAAATTCAGTTCAAAACTTAAGATTTCTGAGAATATTAATTTATCATATTCAGCAAAGTTTTGAACTCAGGTGCAAATTTAACAAGGTGAGCAGCGTGGTACCAAAACCTACTTTTAAAGAGGCTACGTACAGGCTTCATTTTGCTTAATTCACATTGCTGATTCGAGGCCTCCCATCTATTTGGATTTCTGAAAAACTGACCCCACTTACAAATTGCATTTACTGATTCCTAGCAGAGATTTGATTTATAAACATTCAAGAATGAGCCTGTAACTAGTATAAGAATGAATCTTGAGGCCTGTAAATCATGTTACAAAAAATACCTGTCACTGCTAATACAACAGAAATATCTTTTTTTACACCAGTCCAACTTTATGAAAGTGCCTGCAGCTTTTATCATTGATAAACTGGTTGATGAAACCTGCATAGTTAAGAAATATTTTCTAAATGGCTTGATACATAAAATGTTATTAGCTGTAAAAACAGCTGGGCATTTACATTCGCAAAATCAACAATATGAGCTAACTAAAATATTATTCTGCTTAATGTAGTACAGGATTTTAATGCTTTTGGTTCAAAGTCTATGATGTTGCTATAAATTATCTTCTATTATACATAACTAGGTTTGTTGGTTCTCTCATTAATGATGATACAGTGCAATTGTTACAGAATGTGTAGCATAATTTTGCTCTGTGTGTCAATCCAGAAGAATGAACAAATGCTTCAATGGACTGTAACATTTGTTGGTAGTGCACTTCATTTATCTGCTGTATTTTATTATTTTTTTAAACAAACACCATTAAATAAAAGCTTGGTGAAATTATCATCAGCTAAAACATAATATTGATTCATGCACTGTACCTACAGGAATCTGTTGGTAATTTAATACCATATAAAGTCTCTTTTGGTATGACATGTACATCAGTGTGTCTTCTGTCTTCCTGTTCTTAATCAAATATTGCTTATTTATTCCAAAGGCACAGGAGATTTGAATGTTACAGGCGTTGTCTTTTTACTTCTCTAAGCAGCAGTACAGAATCATTTTTCCTGAATATTCATTATAGCCTTGGGCTAGATGGAGCTTTTAATCCTAACTACTCATTGCCAATGGGTAGATATACTAGAGGAAAAACAACTATTCACCTTTTTTTCTAAATGATCACATGATAAACTTAACTACAACCATAACTATAAAAAAAAGTCCTTAGAAATTAAAGCAGCAAGTTGTCTACTGATTGCATTTGGCATTGGTAATGAGATGAATCCCATGTCCTATCACCCCCAAGGCAGATACATCCTCTGCATGTTTAAAAAGGAGTGCGAAAATGCTATGCATACAGTAGGTCACCTCTCCTTGTGTTTCATGGAAAGAAAGAAAACCATGAAGACATTATCACAGAAATGTCTGGCTCTAGATTTTTGGAAATTTTTGAAATTTTTACTAAGACCTATTTTCATTGTTCTTGCAGGGTACTCATTTTTACCCTATCCTGTTACTGCACGATCTTTACACTGTATCCAGGATACCTCTCTGAGGTAGGGAAGTACTATTAAACCTGCTTAACAAACAGAGAGAGGAGAGTCAGATTGACTGATATGTACCTCCTCAAACTCACCTCGTTTTGGTGCCCAGATTTACCAAGTCATTGGCATAAGGATCTGAAAGGGTTTATCTGGCAGAAAACTGCACTTGATTCTTCAGAATATCTTAAACCATGAGATACTTTCCACATTAACAAAAGAAGTATTTTTAATACTTGAATTGAATCAGTTTTTCAGGGTATCTGAATAATGCAAAAGACGGAAACAGCTTTAGGGTAACGAACGTGCTTTTCTTAACTATGCAAACAGTCCTTGGGAAGCACATATGTGTGAGTGTATGCACATATGTGTGAGTGTATGCACATGTGTATGTGTACATATACGAAGAACACAAATGTAAGTCTGA